TATTCGTTAAAACTATTAAAATAAACATTGTTATCCTTGTTTTAAACCAATTTAATGCTATAAAAAAAAAAAAAAAAATCAAATTTTTGAAAAATTTGGTCGGCGGGTAATGCAAAACGAAAAATTAACTTTGCGCGGCCCAAAAGAAAGCCCTCAAATTTATTATGGATAATCGTAAAAATTTAAAAGCTGATAATGCAAAACTGAAATCAGCAAACCAAAAACTAATAAGAAATAATAAAAATCTAATATGAAAATCTAGTCTATTAGTAGCTCCAATCGACACCTTAAAAATAAAGTAGATAATCGACTTTCAACTATAAGATCATTAATACATCAACGAAAAAAAATACCTAATGAAGAATTTAAATGCCAAATAAACATGTTATTTAAAACAAATACAATAACTATTCACCTAAAATAGTTTAGCTATCAACAAAAATCTCACAAATCAGACAAACCTCACTAACTGCTACCGTCAAATCATTACATCTTATTTACGAATTCTTGGTAGAAGAACCTCCACGTAATTGGTTATCAGTATCTACTCTATGCACCTGGTATCAAGAAATATCTCAAATCGAAATTAAATATGCGATAAATCAAATTACCAAATGCTCCCATTTTGGAATATTAGTTGATTAGTCAACTCGTGGGGAAGTAAAAAACTTCATTATGTGTATTATGTTTTGGGATTATAATAAGAATATGCCATCAGTCGTTAATACCAACCTTGAACATTTACAAAATTGTACTGACAAGTCAATATCTGACACTGTTCTTAATTCTATAATAAATTATAGACTGGATCCCGAAAAATGTCTAGCTTGGGTAACTGATAACACTGCATATATGTCCGGTAACGTAAAGGGAGCAGCAATAAAAAAGCCAATATCAATACAACACGGGCTGATTGTGGAATGCATATAATACATATAGTTCTATTGCATTTCGAAGAAGAAGCATTCAGAAAATTACTTTCCTCAATCAGATTGTCAAGAAAGCCACAACCGTTTAACTTGTTATATCTAGCTTGTATCTATATAATAGATATAATTCAAGTAACAAAGAAAACCCTCTTAATATGAGCTCGGAAAGGATTAAAAAATTATATAATAAATTATTAGGGTACCACTTTTCACAATATCAATTGCTGATTAAAGGTCGCTGGGGATATGAACTTTGTGCTGCTAGACAGTATCTGGACCGGCATGAAGCACATATAATATTTACTAGTTGGTTCATTCAAATGCTCGAAAATAATTGTGGTACACCAGAATCATATCTTTCAGATTGGCAATTATTTCAAACCTAGCTTTTAGATGAAAAATTAAATATCCAAGTTCGGTGCTTAGTTAAATTTAGAGAGCATTTATATGAACCACTTATGCAATTCATGGTTGGAAAAGACCCAATACCTCATATCCTATTAGATAATCATTTAATTCAACTTCTACCTAGTCAGCAAGCCCACGAAATGCCTGACAAAGTGATTGAATGGATTAGTTTTTTAAATGAACTTAAAGAAAACTTCGATACATTTTTTGGAGAAAAATTACTAATGGCGTTAGAAAACTTAAGTAGTGAAGTTTTTAGTGAATTGTTTGATAGTTTAGAATGAGGAATAAACAAGACATATGACTATTTTTTAAAATAGATGTCTTTATGGGTACATTTGCCATTGTCGATTTGCCGGTTGGGTGAAAATTCTGGTTATGAATTCGTGAGGGCATTCTACAATGTGGTTCTGCAATTACCATGGCTTTCAGAACCAACAGAATGTGAAATAGAATTTGTGCAACAATTGCGTGATGATTTTGAAATTTCTAATAATACCTTTGGCCTTCTAGAGGAATTATTAGATAGCTTTGACTTTATGGATAAATTTCAAAGTTTTTGTTCTACGCCCAATCCTAAAATTCATGAATACCCGTTATTGTATAAATTTGTTAAAGAGTGAATTTACTTTATTGTAATCTACCAACAACAAGTGGAAGGGTTTTTTAACAAATTAGACTTAAAGACTCACCCTAATATGACTCAAAACATGAAACAGTCAAAATTACAGCTTTTGTCAGGAAATATAAATGAAGAAAACATTGCTTTGGGGCTTAAAGAAGTTTGTAAAAATAAAAGGCAATCACAAGAATCTTTAGAAGATAATATAGAAATGTATGGGGAAGAAGAAGCGACTAAAGTTTTTTTAGACTTACTTCGACCTTAGGTATACTGTATATTGAAGCTACATAGAATCTTTTGTTATTTCTTTATTCATAACTATAATAAAATAGTAAAATAATTATTAATAAAAATTCGAAAAGTTCAACCGTTAAAAATAAATAAGTGTTAATGTTACTGTACTACGTATAATTGAAAAAAAATCGGTATATCATATAAATATAGGACTATACATATATTAGATTTACATAGTGCATCGAACACCCCAGCGGCACATCTCTAATTGAACTATTGGAATTTGGACCATTCCAATTCTATTATATGTCTGATAGATTAATAACTTTTAAAATTTTTTTTTATTCCAATCTCATTTTCTATTAGACAACCTAGATGTGCTAATTTTAACTGGTCTAAATTTTTTATTGGAATACTTTGGATTGATCCAAATATTCCAATTCCAATATATGTCGACACGGGTATTTAGAGATTATTTTTCACTGTGCGGACTGTGCGCAGCACACCGAAACAAATCTCGCGTGTATTTGTTTTTTTCTGAATAGATATGCAGATGCCGCACAGAAAAATTATTTTGTAAATAGAGCGGCACAGTTGAAAACAGATTCTTGTAGTTATTTTTTGTATAGAAGGTTTATAAATTGTGAGGTATCTGCACAGCAAATTTTCATAAAAAAAAAGTAAATTCATTTAATTCTGAAGATAATATCATTCAATTTAAATTTTAAACTAAATGGCAATTTCGCAATTTTATACATTTTATTTCGAAGATGTTTGCATTTAATTTAAAGACAATGTTTATCCAATGATTTTATATATTTAACTTCATTTTTAAAATATTAATTACTAAGTTAAAGATGTAATTTCGAAGATATAGATATTGCTGTTAATGCAAGAATCGGTTTATTTAAGCAGCATCAATGGCCTGTTTTTTAGATAGATTAACTAGGATATCACGGGATTCAAAATTCTTTCCCGGTGCGATTTTGTATTCCGTATCGACGACATATTTTCATATTTCAACTTAGCAATTCCCATTAATTCCGCAAATTCACCACTTTTTTCACACATTTTTCTAAACAATCCATCAGACTTTTGCATCAGTAGATATGGAATATCGAATTCAATTACATTTCCAGCATCTAATTTTGGAAAGAAGGAATTAACATTTCAAGTTCATTAAAATTTTTCTTTGAAAAAGATATATACCCATAACCAGAATTCTATCATAGTCTACAACAGTTCGCAACCTATGCGCAATAGTGATAACAGTATGATCTTTAAACTCAT